TTTAAATCATTGCATATTAACTGAATCTGAAAAACGTGATAGATTGTGTTGATATTACCGTGAAATCCCAAATACTTATTAAATTAAAAACAAAAGCAGTTTGTGGAATGTTTTACTGGATAAATTAATTGTGAATATTTTAAATGAACAATGAAACAAGTTCAAAGTCGCAAACTAAAGCAATGAAACCTGTTTTAAAAGAGGTTATCGGTGAACTAGATAAATTAAAACAAAAATTTACATCCAACAAGGTTTGTGTTCCTATATTCTAAATTAAGCATTATTCTGTTGACAGTGCTTTCATAACTGTTTGGGCTTTACAACAACACCCCCAAATATCTTTTAATACGTATGACGAATATGCTGAAGTGCGATAACAACCACAAAAGCGATGGAATAATGCTGGGTTCAACCCAACCTGTGGGACGCACCTGTCATTGTTGTGATTCTACAACTCTCGCGATATTTCCGGATTGCGCAGTGGAGAAGACTATTCACTTCGGCCGCCATCACTGCACACAAGCTAATATATTAGCCGAAACATTCTGTGTAAAGCGACTGACAACAGCGTAAACAACACAAATACCGACGGCATTCCTAGAAGGGGGGTGAATTAACGTTAAATTTCCTGTCCTGGCGCAGAAAGCTGACTAGCAGCTGCCTTTCATGTAGTCTTTAAGTCAACTTAGTAACGAAAGTCGCTCAAGTAATCATGTCCAACCTCAAAGGCGGCACCAAGAAGGACACCAAGATGAGGATACGAGCTTTTCCTGTGAGTATTTTTATACGGATATTGGTTCTGAAAGTTGGCCTTTGAATATTGAAGATATCTGTGCTTGTAGCTGTCAGCTAACTAGCATACCCAAGGAAAAAATAGACGTCATTGTCAGGGGTAAACTACAACTGTATAAACGTATCAACTAATTTACCGGAGCTTTTAATGCGTTTTCTAAAAAAACAAAACAAAAAAACAACGGTTATTGCCTTGAAAATATTGCCGTTATTTGTAATGAGCTTCTTTTTTTTTAGCGTATGTGAAGAAACTTCAAATGTAAGCTAGTTGGCAACAGGCCTGTTAGCTGGCATGAACGTTTGCCAAGTTTCTGTCAGACTGTCAACGGGTATCATTACGTAATAATAACTGCTTAGACTTTTTAGGACTCTGTACATATATGCTTTGTTCATGTGAGTCAATTTATTTGAAGCTAGAAGAGTTTTATTAGGACTAAGGCGTGAGTGTACACGTCTGACCCAAGTTCAGTGCTGAGGTGAGGACAAAATGGGATAATCTATGATAATAGATCCGTTGGTATCATTTTTAGAATATCTGTATTTCAAAACAAGCGATTAAGATATATTTTACTAATACATAGTTGATATTTGGAGCTTAAAAGTCAAGAAACCTGCTCGGATGAGCTTAATTTCTGAGGTAACTTAAATCACCAGACATGTACATTTCGACGATGTACTCATAAATACAAAGATGAGATCTAAAATAACAAAAGTTGTTTTAAATATTACCATAACATTTTAAGCAAGCAATGTTAAATGAATGACCCACCTTTTACAGTGATAACAATAAAGATTAAGGGTTGCAGATGATGATTTTTCTTTTTGTAATCTAGTATTCTTTCAAGTGATATATCAATTATTTTGATGAATAACAGAGTAATTGAATAAAGTAGTGGTACAGCGTACATATGTTATTCTACCTTATTTTATATGTTAGAGAGCCTAATTAATGAAATAGAAAATGGATAAATAATGGCATTCTTTTAATCCACATTTCAATGCTTAAAATGCAATAACATAGCAGGTCTTTAAGGATGCATTAGTGCAAAAAAAAAGAGTTTTAAAAGCTCAGCCCTTTCTGCTTGACTTGATACCAGAACAGAGCCAGCTTCATTTGGATGGACAATGGTTGCTTAGAAGATAAATCCGTTCCACTTGCATATTGCATTCTGGAAAAAAAACAATGTTTAGAAGATTTTTTCTTCACATCAAAAAAGATTGTTGTTATTCAAATATAATGGAACACTTGAAGACTACTCTCTTGTATCTGTAGCGCAAAACAAATGATAAATAACACAAAGTTGCAGAGCAGAGTACTTCTAAAAAGGATTAAAACACTTTTTTCTCTTTACCCATTTAGGTTATATGCTTAAAGTGACTGTGCTCCGTCAAACGTACAGCAAGATAGAGTTGCAGCTAGCAAGTGGATGCATACATTTTTTTTTAGAATGAAACATTTTTCCACAAAACGGGCAAAGTAAACTCCTTTGACAATGGACTCTGCAAACTTCAAATTCATGAAAACAATAAAACCCCTGAGTGAAACATCTGCATGGTTCTAGTTAGTGTAGAGAAGAATCAAAACAAAATTGCCATATATCTGGGAGGGGTTGCAATTTTTATATTTAGCAAAATCGTTCTGTCCTAGCTTAAAGCAGTCCCACACTTATGATGCTTTCTGTCATTTTTCTCAGCATCTTTTTTTGCCCCTTGCCACCTCTTTCAAAATGGATAACTGCATTTATTAATTTTTCAACAGTCTAGGCTACCATTAGCAAACGTGGGGGCGCTTTACAACACAAATAACCACCCAGTCAGAACACTGTTCACTGAATAGTTACGCAGTATTTGATGAAGCCTTGAGGCAGATAATTTGCTTTGAGGAATTTAAGTAATTAAGTTACTTAAATTACTCTAGGAATAGCTTAAAGCTTATAAATATCACACTTAGCTTACAGAAGCAATATCATTAGCTGCTGAAATTAAGCTATTGAAAGCAATTTGCGAGTTCGTTTATTTTTTTAATGACGCTATAAATTTTTACCAGCAGTAGTTGCACATGATTGAAAGAGAGAGAAAGGACACACATCAAAGATCCAGAGATCATGAACGGAATCTATGGCAGATACATTATGAACCATAGTTTCTGTGTATGGGGTGCCGGTACTACCTCTGCATTATGTTACACCACTTATTTTCAAATTTTAATGTAATTTGGATCATGTGTGGGCTTATTAAGCCTATCTTATGTGTCCAAACAGTTGGTTTTTCCTCAAATAGTTGTTTGATTTATTATTTAAATTTGATTTTAAGAAATTTAATTTATTTACCAGACCAAGTCTTTAGTTCTAGGCCTTGGTGTGTTGCTTACATGAATACAACTAAAAGAAGGCCTTGTTTCCTAGATATGACTACAGAAGTATTTGAAAAAGGAAACTGTCATAGCAAATAAAACCCATTTTTTTAAGGCAATACTGCAAGTGATTAAAGCACCAAACACAAGTGACATCTAAAATAATGTGTCTTTCTTTTTGCTTAACTTACAGTTTAAAAGATTTTATCTCCATGCTAAGTTATTAATGGTATTTATGCCCCCCTTTTCACTTTGGTTTAGAGGAATGTACAGCTATCTGCCTGAATAAATTTGGTAGTTGATTTTTGTGATCACAGCATTTTAAAGGTTCACTGTGTACACTGCTATCTCATAACATGTTTACCATTTTTCTGTCATTTGCTTTTTTTTTTTTTTTTTTTGGGCTTCTGTTCAGTTTGCCGAAAATAAGTAAATTATTCTCTAAAAACACATTTGTATTTGGAACCTAAAAATGGCTTTGCAAATGGCTTTGCAAAACTACCTGAACAAAAATGTTCCCTCTTGTAAATAAAAGCTCAGTGTTTCATAGCTGGAAGTAAACAGATAAATTCAGCTGCTTCGCTCCTCCTACTGTAGCTGCCCTCCCTGCAAACCTGTTTTTTCTCAGTTGTTGTCTACAGAAACCTCACTTAATAGAAAGAGAAACTGTCAATCTGGAAGAAGCTATCAGTTTTGGTAGTCAGGCCACTATATGTTTTTAGGTGAAAAGGAAAGAGGATAGTTTTGAAAAACAAATTAAAATCAAGGCTAAATGCTTATATTTTTAACATAACAAGCTGAACTACAACAGTGACCAAGGCACGTTTATTCATATAGCACTGTACAGTAGCGGTACAATTCAAAGTGCTGTGCATAAGGAGGAAAAGAAATGTGAAGAAAAATAATCATTGAAATAAGATAATTATATATAACAACATTGGTTGGAAAAAAATCAAAGAAATGTTACACTTAAAAATAATCTAAGAATGTTTAGAACTCACAGTCAAAGGCCACTCTAAAAAAATATGTTCCTTAAACTTGTCTTAATGCAACTAAGGGTTTCAGTGCTTTTACAGCCTGTTTGTAGTTTATTCCTGGTTAGTAGAGCATAAGAACTAAAAGCTGCTTCTCTATATTTGGTTCTGGGTATATATACACCAACATCAAGTCTGTAAAGTATTTTGGGGCTAAACCATTTAGTGGATTATAGAATAACAGATGTATTTTGAAGTCTATATTCGAATGAACAAGGAGTCAGTGTAGAACCTTCAAAACTGAAGTGATGTGCTCCACTTTGTGTCTTTGTGAGGATGCAGGCAGCAGCATTTCAGATGTGCTGCAGCTGTCTGATCTACTTTTTGGGAAGACAAATTAAGACGCCCTGGCACTAATCAATTCAACTAAAGATGAATTTGTTTTTTAAGGTCCTGCTGAGACATTAGTAATTAAATCCTGGAAACGTTTTTTAGGGAATCAAAACACTGACTTTATTACTTTCTTTATGTGCCTGATTGGCTTGAAACCCAGCCTTTGCTTTTACCTTGAAACTCTTCATGTATAAATTAACTGTTTGTCACATAAAAACCACAGTTTAACTCAGTGGTGTGTCTACCGATAGGCCACATATCATAATTGGTTGATTTACATGAAAAAGATGGACGATCAATGTGTTAGATAGCACCACTTTCAACAGATTGTGGAAAAACTCAAGGAAATAAATTACTTTGGCTCTCAAACAGCATGCAGAGGCATTGATAATTCTGTAAAAAGCTGTGTTTTCTAGTTCCTTGGGTAGTGGTGTTGTCCGCTCACTGTTTGTGCTGAACACAGGGGGATTTTACAGACCATTGATGATCTATCTTTTAGCAACTCCTATAATTTCATCTCACCCTTTTTTAGTCCTTTGAAATTTATCAAAATACAGAACCTCATACTGGTAAACTCATACAGTTCAGGCATTTTGGTTGACATTCCGTGAGCACTATTCTTTCATTACTTTGTGTCCCACAGATGACGATGGATGAGAAATATGTAAATAACATCTGGGACCTTCTAAAGAATGCCATCCAGGAGATCCAAAGGAAGAACAACAGTGGGCTGAGCTTCGAGGAGCTGTACAGGAATGCCTACACAATGGTGCTCCACAAGCACGGAGAGAAGCTCTATACAGGCCTGAGGGAGGTGGTCACAGAACACCTCATCAATAAAGTAAAGTCATTTCTCTTTTTTTTTTTTTTTCCAAAACCGCATCAAAGAATTAAAAAAAAATTATTTTCTTTTATTGGTCCCATTGATGTGTATTGATTTAGTTTGTGTTTTCAGGTGCGAGAAGATGTCCTAAACTCCCTAAATAATAACTTTCTGCAAACACTGAACCAAGCCTGGAACGACCATCAAACTGCAATGGTTATGATCAGAGACATCCTGATGTACATGGTAGATATTCTGTTTTTAAATTATTATTGGACCAAATAATAAGGCTTTGTTTGCATGTTGGTTTGTTTCTTTGAATGGAAAATGGCAGAAGCAATTGTTTTGCAATTGGGTTAGGATTATTTAGGAATTGTAGGCTCCTTGTGATCTTTCCTCTTGCTTTCCTTTCCAATGTGAGAAATTATCAGTAAGGAAAGTGTATCTAAAACACAATTGAAATGATACAGTCTGGTATTAATTGACTAAAGCCTGACATGTAGGCCAGTTTACTAACATTGTCGGTTTAGACTTTTTGCTTGATAACAAGTGGCCTACAAACTCAGACACAACATTATGGGCAGCATAGCACTTTACAAGGCTGTGAAATTGACACAGATGATGGGTATTTGAATGAGTGTTATAATTTTATAGGCTATCATGATGTGATAAATCATTGTAGGCATGTTCAATATTTAATTTTTGATTTTATGTGAATGCATTCTTGTACAGTATAGAGTTAGGAGTTTAGAGTCATTCTGATGGCGGGGTTATATTCAATTAATTTAGAATTAATTTTTTTTCATACCATTAAAGAATATTCTCAGAGAAAGAAAAAAAAAAAAAACAATAAGCCAGCCCTGGGTATTTATGCTATGTTCAGACCATACGTGATAGAGGAGCAGAAGCAGCTAGTTTACTATGGTTGCATCAAGGCGTAGCAGGAGCAGCGCATATGGATTCGTTGAAGCAGCTGAACCAGCACCTCATGAGCCTCTGAGCATCTGAGGCGCTGGAAGCGCTGCTCAAGCAGCAGCTGCTGGAGTTGGAAAAATGTAACGTTTGCTGCTCGACGTACCACCTCAACCAATCAGAGAAGCTTATCTGGGAGCTGGCAGGGAGACAGACAGAACACTGCTGATACAGATCGCTACTGTACAATCACTCCCCTGAAACAGTTTAACGCCTAAATTAACTTGTAAATTAAATGTCGAAACCTGCCAGCAAAATATGTTTGCTTTTATTGTTACATGAAAAACACCTTCCAGCCGCCACAAACAGTAGTGGAAAACCCGAGAGGCGACTGGGCCATGGGGCTGCTTTTGAAAGGGATTTCCAGTGACAGAGCACCGCATGTGTACTGGGGTTTGAGCGGCTCTGACAGCAAAACTATATTTGAAGGCAGGATTGTAATCTTGATGAACTGACTGCACAGATGAAGTTTTCAGACTTTCTCACTTAAAAATATTTGCAAAGCCGTTCTCTGCCATTGAATGCAGGAGTAGCAGAAGCATCTGGACACACTTTATTGGACACGCTTCAGGAGCATCAAGGATGCACTTGAGGCGTGTCAGACCTTAATGTGTACAAGCATCAAAAATGAAGTAGCAGAATTTTTTTGCTGCTTCCATAGCTTGCTGTCTGAAAGTAACATTAAAGTCCATTCTATTGGCCAAATATATTGCCAATATCCACAGAATAAACGCGTCACACTCAAACGAATCTCCTACCAAATATTGCACTCAAACACTCCTTTCTGTTTGCACTATTGTATACATTAAGATGAGATAACTGATTATCCGGGACTGGGTCAAGGTAGTGCCAGCCTTAGCAGACTCTCAGACTTCTCTCCAGAGATACCTCCTCCAGCTCCTCTAGAGAAAGGCTGATGCTTTCTAGGGCCAGCTGAGAGACATAGTTCCTCCAACAGATTCTTGGCCGCCTCTTCCCGTGGGAGGCTGCCAGAACCAAAATTCTGTTCCCCTTGTACAGTGACTAGATGGTCCCTAGTAAATGGCCCCCAACTCTATATTCCCCCTCATAGAGGACCACCAAGGACACGGTCATATGCCCCCGCCAGGTCCAAAAAATGCATGTTAATCTGTGCATTATGAACCTATGAACCTTCAAACACCCTGCAAGGGGTGTATCTCTGGTCCACTGTTCCATGGCCGGGTCAAAAACCATATTGCTCCTCCGGAAGCAGGGGTAGACAATCAGCCAGTCTCTCCTCCTTATAGACCTTCCTGGGGATTCTGATCCTCCTATCACTGAAACATACCCTCCACAGCCCATCCTTTTTTGGAGGAGAACCCCCCCTCCAGTCTTCCAGACCAGGGGTACTGTCCCTGATCACATGCAGTGTTGAAGAGGCTTGTCATCTATTACAGCTTGGCAACATCCGGAGACCTGAGGTAGTTGGGGTGGATCTCATCCATCACCATGGAGTTTTTATTAACCACCTCAGTGCTTCAACCTGGATACTGAACAACTTAGACCCCGAGCACCAAGCTTCTGCTTCCGCCAGGGAAGGCATGTCAGCCAGTTCCCCAAAGTATTTCTTTCATGGTGGATGGTTTGCTAGAATGTCTTTGAGGTCGTCTGACAGTCTTTCTCCATGGTCTTTCCAAGCTCCTCCCACGCCCAAGTTTTTGCCTCTGCAACTGCCCAGGCAGCAACACACTTGGCCTCATGTTACCTGCTCCCTGCCTCAGGAGTCCCACAAGCCAGCCAGTCTCAAATTGACTCCTTCAGCTTGAAAGCAGGCCTTATGGCCTGTGTCCACCAACATGTGCAGGGATTGACAGCGATAACAGGCAGAACAGACCTTATGGCCGCAGGACAGGCAGCCACATCGACAATAGAGGCAAAGAACATTGTCCACTTAGACTTCATGTCCTCAGCCTCCCTGGAATCTAGGACACACACTTCATGAGTAGGAGTTGAATCTATCGCTGAATATGAATATGCTCCACCAGATGTTCCCAGCAGACCCTCACTACTAATTGGGTCTGCTTAGTCTGTCTAGTTTCCTCCTTTTCCAGGGAATCCAACTCACCACCAGGCGGTGATCGATGGACAGCCTTGGATGTCGTGCACTGATGGACATCCTTTTGTCTAAACATGGTGTTTATCATGGACAATCCAGAATCCTAGTTGAGAGCTGGGGGTCTGTTCCTCCAATCACTCCTCTCCAGGTGTAACTGTCCTTTCCCACTGGGGTGTTGAAGCAATTTAAAATGGATTGAATGATTCCCTTTAAAAATAGACTAAAAACATTTGCCTTAATTGTTTTTCAGAAGTAATAAATGTACCTGTATTTCATAATTGTTTGCAACCACAGTTAAGTTGCTCGTGACAGTTTATGCCATACCCTTTTTATATCTAACAAGTGATTAATGCTTAAAGGTGTTTGTCAAGGAAGTAATTTTCCAAATAACTGACTGCAAAGAGTATAGACCATTAGGTATGCAGAGTAATAACATCCTGCCAACATTTTTCCTTCTAAAATGATCAACGTCTTAAGAACCATCTAGACTGGTAAATGTCTCATCCCTCATCAGAAACTATAACAGCAAAGTAAGAACAGTGGTGCAAAGAAATTGAATTTATTTGATATCATGTTTAATAGTTTTAAATCACAATTTGGCAAATTTTACTTGTTTAACTTGACAAGTTTCAGAATTAGAAATCACAGATAAAAGCACTATTTTCTAAACAACAAGACCTCAAAGTTAAATAGATTATGGGCAACTGGTTTTCTAACATGTTAAAAGATTAATTAAATGTACCTGTAAACCATATTTTTAATGTTTTTGGTAATTAGCCCTGAACTGTAGAACATTTTACACATTTGTCATATATGTATAAAAATATGTTTATACCATGAGTCCTGTTTGAAAATGTTTTGGTTTCACATGTTTATTCTTTTTCTCAGCACAAACAAAAACATAAATGAGTTCCTATTAGCAGAGCAGGTGCTGCAGTTGAGTGATGAAAACTTATTACAAAAAGATATAAAAGCGTCAAAAGAAATGTCACATATCAACATTCTACGAAAGAAAAATACTGAGTTCTTGATAAAGGTCATTCAGTCTGATTAGTGCAAATTGAAGGCCAATTTATGCTTCTGACACATAGCCTCTGCAACCGCCACCTTAAAAAAATCTTGACTATGCGTCGGATGGTCAATAACCCGCGCAGACCTCAAGTGGAAGTGGCAGACAAAAAGCACCTGTGATTGGTCCTTGGTATGCCTTTCTGGCTTTGTGGTCGTCCTTCTCTATTCATTGCTGGGGTGCGCCATTTTTAATAACCGAGGAACAACTACAATTGACAACTACGACGAAAGGTTAATCTGTCTTTTTGCCAACTCCATTAACAGAACCTGTTCCTCTTTGATGTCTAGCAACTCTAGATCTATCTCCGTGGCTGTGATATCTCGCAGACACGCCATTGGTGCAGAAGCATACCAGCAAAACTGGTTTGCGACCAGACCCAAGCGACATTTCATGTGTGCGGTTGTGGAAGTCTAATCTACCCTTTAGCCTGCCCCCCAAGAAAAAGAATATCTTGATAAGAAAATTGATGGATAAAGTGATGAGCTTGTCATGATTTCTGCCTAATAAACAAGTACGTTATGTGAGTCTAATGATTTAGGAATGTTTTTTACAGGACCTGGACCCTTTTAAATCAATCCAGTTGTGTTCAAGGGCTTTAAAATAAGCTTAAAATGGGTAATTAAAATATTTCGGACTTTAAAAAACGTGTATCAACAGCAGCTCTGTTGCTCGTTAAATGAGCAGTGTTGGTTAAATCGGGCCAAATTATTGTCGTCTTTTCAAGAATTAAATCTTTCCCTCCTTCTCTTATAGGATAGGGTTTATGTTCAGCAAAACAACGTGGAGAATGTATACAACCTCGGCCTAATCATATTCAAGGACCAGGTGGTGCGCTACGGCTGCATTCGGGACCACCTGCGGCAAACGCTGTTGGACATGATCGCACGGGAAAGAAAGGGGGAGGTTGTGGACAGGTAAACCCCTGTGTTCCTTCACTGGATGAAGGAGGCAGATAATGTTGATGGTTTACAAAGTCTTGTGTAACTCAAAAAACAGACTTAAGTTTTTCTATTTTATTTTATTCTTGTTTCTTTCCAACTATCACCTGCAGGGGTGCCATAAGAAACGCGTGCCAGATGCTGATGATTTTGGGTCTGGACGGTAGATCTGTATATGAGGAGGACTTTGAAGGCCCCTTTTTAGATATGTCAGCTGAATTCTTCCAGGTGAGTCTGTACTTTATGTCTCAATGCAAGTCTATTTTTCCTATCTGCTGCTAAACAGCTCATTAATCTTTTATCTTCTCAGATGGAGAGCCAAAAGTTCCTGGCAGAGAACAGCGCCAGTGTCTACATAAAGAAGGTGGAGGCTAGAATCAATGAGGAGATTGAGCGAGTTATGCACTGCTTAGATAAGTCAACCGAAGAGCCAATTGTTAAGGTAGTGGAAAGGGAGCTTATTTCCAAACATATGAAAACCATTGTGGAAATGGAGAATTCGGGCTTGGTCCATATGCTCAAGAATAGCAAAACAGAAGGTAAATTAATTTAAAGGCTTTCCTTTGATTTAATTCTCATATCGCTCCAAGATTTAAAAAAAACAAACCTCTTTGTCTTTGTTTATGTATTTATTTTCCCTTATGTTGCTCTCAGACCTGGCCTGCATGTACAAGCTGTTCAGTCGAGTGCCAAATGGCCTGAAAACAATGTGCGAGTGTATGAGCTCCTATTTAAGGGAACAAGGAAAAGCTCTCGTGTCAGAAGAGGGAGAGGGCAAGAACCCAGTTGACTACATCCAGGTATACTGATAGTGTCACAAATCTCAAATGACTATTTAATGACTTCACTTTAACATTTTAAGAGACAGAAACTGTTTCATAGATGTCACTTATTCTTTACCTTTTTCTCTAAAGGGTCTGCTAGACTTGAAAACACGATTTGATCATTTTCTCCTCGAGTCCTTCAACAATGACAGACTGTTTAAACAAACCATCGCTGGAGACTTTGAATATTTTCTCAACCTCAACTCCCGCTCCCCTGAGTACCTGTCACTGTTCATAGATGATAAGCTGAAAAAGGGAGTAAAAGGGGTATGTGGCTTTGTAATAAAAACAGTTTTTATTGTTTTCAGACGTGGTTGGTGGAACAATATCTAAATACGCTTGATTTATTTTTAACTAGCTGACAGAACAAGAAGTGGAGTCTATTCTGGACAAGGCAATGGTGTTGTTCAGGTTTATGCAGGAGAAGGACGTCTTTGAAAGATACTACAAGCAGCATCTGGGTCGGCGGCTTCTCAGCAACAAGAGCGTTTCAGACGATTCAGAGAAGAACATGATCTCTAAGCTGAAGGTGAAAGAATCATAAGAGATATACAGGTTCTTTGAAATAAAAACAATTCTAGAGGACTTACACAGATAGGGTTGGAAGATATGGACAAAGCTTTTATCACAGTATATTTCTTAATTTGGTCAATAACATATGGTTCAGATTTTGATGCAGACAATATAAAAGCCTGAGAAAAACTACCAAGAAAGTACACAAAATAACCCAAAACAAACTTCTGAATTTTATCACACAAAGTCCATGAAAGTCCTCAATTATTACATTTTAGAAATTATTGTTTTAATAAATTTTTCTCACAACTATCTTTGGGAGCTACAAGCTAAAGAGATGAAGTGCACATTTAACCAGGTGATCGTCTCTTCTCCTGACATTCCTCAGTCCATGGCCTTTCCCCGCATTTCAGTTTGTAATCCCATCCTTTATTTTGATGCGATTGACTGTCACGTGTATTCATTGTCGTTTTTATTATCTACTAGTATTTTTTCATTTCCAAAGAAAGGGTGTTTGCTATTTATCTGCTCTACACAATGATACATGAGTCTGTAATAAGTATGTATAATTTAACTTTGATGATAACCTAGTTCAGTGGAATGTACCTGTAGCTGTTTTCTTAGGATTAGTGATCTTCTATTTTAAATACATCTCCAACTTTTTATTTATGTATGTTTTGCAGTTTAAGCTAACTGTTCTCCTGGTTTCTCCCTTTCAGACCGAATGTGGCTGTCAGTTCACCTCTAAACTGGAAGGAATGTTTCGAGACATGAGCATCTCAAACACTACCATGGATGAGTTCAGGCAATACATACAGAGCATATCGGTAGGATATTATAAACGCAGTTTGGTCACCTTCCTTAAGTGTTAATTTTGCTTTAAAACATATTGAGTTAGTCTCTGTTTTTTGCTCTTTAATTGAAAGTAAAAAAATACATTGTTTTTTTGTTGTTCTGTGTTGTCTGAAGATGATTGTGAAGGAAACTGAAAGGTTTTATGCATTAATTTCAGGCTTCTTTAAGTGGTGTAGACCTAACAGTAAGAGTCCTGACCACAGGCTACTGGCCAACACAGTCTGCCACACCTAAATGCACCATCCCGCCTGCTCCTAGAGACGCATATGAAGTCTTCAGAAGGTAAGACGACCTTTGAAAGATATTACTGTTTATGGTTTGTTTGGACAGCTTCTGAGGAAAATCCTGTGTGCCTTTATTGAACAGGTTTTACCTTGCTAAGCACAGTGGAAGGCAGCTCACACTACAACACCACATGGGTGGAGCAGACCTAAATGCAACTTTCTATGGAGCTATTAAAAAGGTACTCTAAATGAATAAGCAGCTAGTTGTATTTTTCAAATATAAAATGGTGGAATTATGGATGCTAGATTTAGATTCCTTTGTTTTTATTTCTATTGTGTGTTTCGCTGCTTTCTTTGCAGGAGGATGGTTCTGAGGTGGGTGTCGGTGGAGCACAGGTAACCGGAACTAACACCAGAAAGCACATCCTGCAGGTCTCCACCTTCCAGATGACCATCCTCATGCTCTTCAATAACAGGGAAAAGTCCACTTTTGAGGTGAGAATACCATGCTCCCCCTTCTCTGTTTTCTAAATGCCACTAACCACAACAATGTGATCACCTTAAAGCCTGAACAAACTGGAAACTATTTAGTATCAGTCTAATAGAAAATCAGATCTTATGAGGTCATGGCTGACTTTGAAAATGCATCAATAAAGAAAACAAATTCAAATATGACTGAAGGGGAAATTTAAAAATGTATTACAAACGTTAACAGACTTCTTAACCCTGTATACCCTGGTTAGTGTTTGTTTGACATTTTTATCTCATCTCGTTTAGGTCAAATGTTTCCTCAGGGCTTATAGAAACAGGTTTCTCAGCATACATGAGTTGTTGTGTCATAGAAACATATTATTTAGCAGTTATACGGCAGTTGCCAATGGGTAAGCCAACATAATTAATTTACATTAGCTGTAAAATTTTAAAATACAGAATCTGTTAACCCTTATCTAAATTCTTCACGGTTGTGATACGCCAATGTGCTTTTATTAAAACAAAATATTTGCATTTACGCAGGTTTAGATTGACAAAGTAGTGGTCATATTTAACAATAATGATTTTAAAGACACCAAGCTGCAAAACTTAAAGAATAAACAGAAAATATAAAGAAAAATATAAAGAATATCTGGATGCACATGGTGCTCACTGTTAAGGAAATAAGTTCATGGTGATAATTTTAAGGGAAATCATTTGAAAATTTTGCAAGCTCTTTGTTTTTAGGCATCTATGAACACATTAATGGAGTTTATAAATTATAATTTTTCCCTATCCTATTTCAATGTTATGACTTTTAATTGTATATTTAAGTATGACAAGTCTTAACATACAGGTTTTGGGCTCAGTGCCCACATTTAGATATTTATCTTTACATATGTAAAATATGAAATTACATAAATGAAATTACAGTGTTAATTTCATTGCTTGATTTTACTGGCATAGAAATTTGCCCTGATCAGAATTTAATGCTCCATATTCGTTAAGTAATGTAATTTTTCCTCTGCTCTATAATACTATCTTAAATGTTTGTAGCAACAGTCCCATAGACGTATAGTTGTTATACCCTGTTACAATATGGATATATGTCTTCTCAATCTAAATATGACTGTCCATGATACGGCGGCTTGTGATATGTGGAGAATTTTAAAACCCAGAATGTATTTTTAGAAAGGAATAGTTTTGAATTCAGTTTATGTAGCTATTATTATTAATGTTTTAAGATTGATGTAGAGGTGTAATAATAATGTAATAATAAATAATAATGGATTTGTTAAGGTCTTCTCAAAGTTTTGTCATAAGAATATATATTATAAAATGATTAAAGATGCCAGTTTAGTTTTAATGTAATTGTTGTTCTCTGTTACATATTTGAACATATGTTGCAATGAATAAAAATCATTAGGATTTGGATAACCCAAGGTTGGCATCTCTCAGCCCACAAGCGGCTTGTGCTCTCCTCTGTATGAATTGAAGAGAAAAAAAAACTTAAGCCAAACTTTACAAAAACCTCTGAGCTCAGCTTTCACTGCGTCACCTATGTAAAACCCATTCCACTCCATGTTATTTTTTCTGTTCTTTTTTTAAAATGTAATTTCCATTAAAATCCTTTACTTACTGCTACTCAGGTAGGCCATTAAAAGGGGTGCTGCTTTATATATAGTAGCTGGCGCCACTCTGCTTACTTTACATCTAAAATGCCTGTGGCACAGTGGGTAGCACTGTTGCCCTGCAGCCCGAAGATTCAGGGGTTCTCTCTGGGGGACTCCGGCTTCCTCCCACAGTCCAAAAACATGTATGTTAGGTTAATTGGCTTCTCTAAATTCTACTTAGGTGTCAGTGTGTGCGTGAATGGTTGTGCATCTCTGTGTTGCCCTGCAACAGACTGCTGACCTGTCCAGGGTGTCGCCCGCCTCCCGACCATGAGTGGACTAATTGGGAGAAAATGTCTGACCCTGTCAAATTAGGGACATTGTTTACATTTTTCTAATTCTAGATCTACTAACACTACTTGTATTAGGAGCCTTTCCATATGCATTGCAGCCACTGTGACAGAAAATCAAAATGGCATCATAGCTTTTAGAATCTGACACAGGCAGTGAGACCCGGCCTTTTGATGGAGATGGCACACAGCTTACTGCAAGGAACAGTGTTCAGGATTTGCTCTCTAGTTGATCTGTGGGTTGATCTATTTACAACAAATGGCAATCCATTGTGCAATTTTACACTTTCCATCAGGAGCAATAATGGCATTTTCAGGACGTTGACCAATAGAAGCTCTTCGATTACATCCACCTACAGCCAACATTGACTTCTCGTGAACAAGAAGTTTTTATTGCCCTTTGTTTTTTCTTCATCTGTCTACTTTGATCTGATGATTACCATTTTAGAGGAGCTGCAGCAGACTGGAAATTTAATGACTCACCTGGTTAGCCATCAGTGTGTCTATTTCCTTATGGGAACCTGTCTCCTTCTCTGTTTTTTAAAAGCTTTAATAATTCACTATGAACTCCTGCTGATATGCATTTAATTAAATGTCTATATTTGAATTTGTTTAGTATTTTTATAGCTTTTCTTTTTACAGGGTGTTTGTATCCTTATAGAAATGAATACATTGTTAAACAAGTTTTTGAATCTGAATTGTATATTTTTTATGATAAAACCTTTTGTCCTGTTTTTATAGGAGATTCAACAGGAGACTGATATACCAGAGAGAGAGCTGGTGCGGGCGCTGCAGTCCTTAGCCTGTGGCAAGCCCACACAGAGAGTTCTAACGAAAGAGCCAAAGTCAAAAGAGATCGAAAATGGCCATGTTTTCACAGTCAATGACCAGTTTACCTCCAAGCTGCACAGAGTCAAAATCCAGACAGGTGAATTAAATTTATTTGTTAACTTTTTTTAATGCAATTTTGACAAACCTTCCACTACCATTAAACTCGGAATATAAACTTCTTTTTTAAGATAAAAGCTTGTCTTTTATTTATAAATAAAAAACCAATGGGATTAGTATGTTTCATGTTTGTTTGTATAAACAAGTTTTTTTTGTCTATGATTCAATTTACAGTTGCTGCTAAACAAGGGGAGTCAGATCCTGAAAGAAAAGAGACACGGCAGAAAGTCGATGATGACAGAAAGCATGAGATCGAGGCAGCAATTGTCCGCATCATGAAATCCAGGAAGAAGATGCAGCACAATGTCCTGGTAGCAGAGGTAAACGGAGAGCTTAGAAATTCTCCTTTTAAGCTTTTCATTTAAATTAAATCAAAAACGGTGTTATTATTTCTCCATTTGAGCACTTGGATATACCTGGATCCATTTATTGAGCACATTGATGACAATGAGGTAGAGGAGTCCCCATTGATGGGACTGTTACTGTAGCTAAAAACAGTCTTTTGCTCTCAAAGCGACCCAAATTCAAGTTAATCTCACTAGTTCTGTTCTGACTCATCTCATACAGTTCCTGCTTCTATCTTAGTCATTCTCATATAACTTCCCACTGTGTAAAACCTATTCAGTTCATAGACAATCTCATTGAAAATAACATTTTTAAGAACATTTTTTATTTCTGTCTTCAGGTGACCCAGCAGCTTCGAGCAAGGTTCCTCCCCAGTCCTGTGGTAATCAAAAAGCGCATTGAAGGACTGATAGAAAGAGAATACTTGGCACGGACGCCAGAGGATCGTAAAGTGTACACCTATGTGGCATAGAGAGGAAACCTGAGGAGAAGAGATTGGAACGTTTTCCGTGGACTGTTGTTGCGTATGGACTGTAAGCTTCTTTTACAGAGAATGACTGGAAACCTGATTCATTGACTCCTGCAAAAAAAAAAAGCAGTAAGCTCCTCTTGTACATGGGACGTAAAAACTTGGGATAGAGAAAAAAAAGGAATCAGATGTTCTAGATTTCTTTTCAAATCGGGCCCGGTCTTCCTATTCCCAGTGAGTTTTTACATGGAGGGATCCAGCTTCAAGATTTTCACTGTTTTACCCTGGTAGAGTTCAAAACTTGCAATGAATCCCGTGGGAAAATGTGAATGCACCACATTATTTTTTTTTTGTTTTGTTTTGTTTCAGTACTGTATGAAACTAATAAAATTATTCAAACAAAAAAATGTGGACTGTTACAAAATAAATTAATACTGTTGCTTTGTCATAGAATTACATTGCTTATCTTCTATATTTGAATTTCTGGAATTAAAATTCTCCGTCTTGGTCTTGAATTCACAAGATGTAATTTAAGTATTTTTCAAGTATTCGATATAAATTTTTCTCATGTTGTAAAGCTTGTATTTCGATGCCAGAAGTGACGCATAAGAGAATATTCAATTATATGTAAAGGGTTTAATGAGGCAGCCTAATTTACGTCTTCATTCAGTGTCAAACAGTGTGGCATTCACTGTCTGATCTTCCTCCACAAGGTACCTTTTTAAAAAAAAAAAAAAAAAAACAGCTCATTAGTTTTAATTCCACCAATAAAGGTACTACTAACTGATGCTCCAATAAAATCCCAAAACAAATTATTCCAGGTTGAAATGTATCCAATTACTCCTGAAACCCATTTTAAATATTTGTAATCAAACAGCTATTCTCTCAAAACTGAGCCTAATTCATTTATACAAAAAATGGAAGATTTCTTGATTTTTTTTTTTTTTTTTATATGAATGTTGCCATCCAATCAAAATGCAGGACATACTCCAGTTTTACTATTTTGATTTGCTAGTGCTTCCATAAGCATCTGGATTTTTTTTTGCAGTTTTGTTCTAAGAAACGTAGGCTATAGGACATGATTTAGTTGATCTTACCATTTTGTAATATCAACTTTTTCAAAAAAAAGGGAGTGAAATAGGCTGATGGTATAAGGGTTTGCAAAACCATTGTTTTCCATTCTTAAATGTGTTTGGGAATATATGCCAGGGGTTTTAAAATCCCTGTAACTCCTGGATTCTTGGGCCTTATTGCTTTAGTATTCAACTCCATAAGACCTGTTATGCTTTTTAGCCAAAATGTTTTGTCAAAAACATTTCATTGGGAAATGATCACATTCCATCAGAAAACATTTTATTATATTAGTGCTTTCCTGATTTAACATGGAGGCTGATGGAGGAAGGAGTCCGGACTTGACTTTATTTCAGGGGAAAAAACAAAAGCATTATTTTACTGCACTTTTTTTTTAATGAATGGAAATTGTAAACTATTTAAAACAGATGTTGATCTTTCAAGCTTAGACAATTATACTTATATTCATTTGTCAATGACAAATTGTGTAACAGAAGTTAGACAAACTGAGGTATGGAAATATCCACACGGTCTCTCAGACCTTCCCCATGTAACCGAACAGCTCTGGCCAGGGTCTCCAGCTGAGTTATGAAGCTACAGATCTCTTCATCAGAACTGTGAGTCCAAGCCAGGGGGAGGTGCACTGGAACAGGCTTACGATCTGAAACAAAAACAAATGGTAAGAAGACCTGACAACCAACAATGTCTAACCTCATCAAAGATGGCTGACTGCATCACTTCACTGATCTCACCTTGGAAAAACTGCCCACTGCGTTTTCTAGCAGCAGCTCTGGACAGGGCTAACCACACCACTGTGTCAGCACCTTGGTCCACACTGCGTAATCTGTTCCCCATCATCTGATGGAACTGAGGCATTGATGTAGAAACGGCTGCAAACAACAAACAATGCACTAAATGGAAATATATTAGATTAAAATGAATTATGTGTGTTTGGATGTATGTTTAGTCATTAAGAAGGAAAGTACTGCTAAAATATCTTGGAGGATTAGTAGGGAATATGGAATATGACAGGTACTGTAGAAAACCATGCATCTAAATGATAACGGTTAATAGGTTAACATGAAGAAATGAATACTTTTTATTTTTGCATCCACTGTGTTCTCTAATGGATGTTCCACAAATTATGGATTTTAATTACATAAACAGACTTGATGGATCACACATCCTATGCAATATGGTGAGAACTAAAAAGATGCACACAAATAGAGAAGGAACTACTCTCTAAAATATTTGTTTGAATTTGGAGACAGTACCTGGTGTATCAACCCAGCCAGGATGCATGGCAGAAAAATGAATGACAGGGTTGGTTTTAGCCCAGTGCTCCGTGAGCACCACCTGCTGTCTCTATAAAGAAACAGCATGTTTTAATCTTAAGTAAAACGCCCATATTACAGTATCATCATTATATCATACCAATCTATTCTTGGAGTAAAAAGCCTTCTGCTAAGGAAAATACAGTGCCCAACAAAGATACTTTAAAGGTTTTTCACCTTTTTCAAGCTTACAGTTTACAAACTTCAGTGTATTTTGTGGGAATTTGATGTGATACATTATATGTAGTTTTATTAACTTATTTTAAAAATGCATATCTCAAAAATTTGACATGCATATTCAGCCTGTCTTTTCTCTGATGCCCCTAGAATTGAGTGCAACCAACATGAATCACAGCAGCAGTTGGGAGGGATGTGGTAACAGAAGAGGCTGCAGCTCAACTTTTTAGAAAACAACTTTGCACTGTATTCCACAAATATGGCTCTTATGTCAGAGTCTCCCCCCTTACAAGTTATGTCACCCTGACTTTGCATTGACTTCCATTCATTTCAACAGTCATCTAGTCCCTAACAGAACCTAAAGGTGCCCACAGCTAAACATAATTCTGGGGAACTGGCTGCACACACACATACATATTTGATAAAACTATGTTGAAGACAAAAATCTGGAAGACAACCAGAATGACTAAAAAGTGTGACTTTGTGACCTACATGTGAAAGATAAATATGTAACATTAGTAATGGGGTTCCAGATTTATTCTGCAGATGCAGGACATCTGCTTAGATTTGATAGAATAAGTGATGGAGCTAAATATAGATACATAGTGGCAGGAAATATTTTTGAGGTAACAAAGGGCTGGTGATGTAACTCAAATATCACAGTGCTTGCTTATATCAAAGGGTATTTTGAATGATCCAAAACAAAGTCTGGATAGCAAATCATGGACACAACCCATAAAATATGACTGAGTTTGAGCTGATTTGAAAATAAGAAAGTAAAGCAAAGAAGGAAAGTAAATTGGAAACAGATTTGAACCTTTCAACATCACAGTTCTGTGCTACTCTGTGTTGGTCTATCAAATAAAAAAAAAGCAATAAAATAGAGGACTTTGGTTATAAACGTTATGAATACTTCCTTTTGTATATATAAATATTCTCCTTGTCTTACCTTGTTCTGTGCATAGACCATGACACCATCAAAGTACCCTTTTTCTGACTGCAAATCATCAGTTCTGAGTTTCTGGACCAGCATGCCCCCTGAGGACACAGTGATCTAAGCAGCGAGGCAGTAAACAGCAACAGCAGTGTGGTTAGACAACAGCCACTAAAGCACAGACAAAAGTGGCATTATGCTGTCCACATGATCCAGATTAAGACTCTGTTTGTGAAAATGTATGCATGAAGTCGTACCACTCTTGGATCCCGGCTCTTTTGCAGAAGTGGTATGAGAGCCTGAGTGAGGATGTACACCGCTAAAGTAATGGAAGTGAATGCCTTTAGAATACTGCTGTGCTGCAGGAGGACATTCTATCTGTTTGAATCCATGCTCACCCATAGTGTTGATGGCAAAGTTCATTTCCAAGCCCTCTGCATTCAGCTCTCTCTTGTGCGTCATACAGCCTGCATTGTTTATCTATCACATTATTTCAAAGCACCCACATCAGAAATATGAAGCTAAGCTTTCCATCTAGAGTCAACAAAAAGATAGTGAGTAACTGATGCCTACCAAGACATTCAGTGATGGATGCTCTTTCTTGAAGGTCTCAGCAAATTCCAACACTTTCCGAGTCTGAGCCATGTCAACCACATGGATATATACCTCCTACAGCAACATAAGGGAGTTAATTGCTCTTGATAACTTGATTGACAATTTGAAATAAAGGGAGGTTCAAGTCTATGTCACCCACCGCGTTCCCAGACTCAAAAACAATCTGTGACTTGGCTTCTTCCGCCCTGTCTTTGTTCCTGCACACCATGTGGACTGTCCCCCCTGGGAAAAAAAACAAAACATTTTTTATTTTGTCACTTTTGTTATTACGTCATTATAGAGAGAACGCTTCTTTAGCTTAAAACCTTTCTTGGCAATAGCCATGGCGGTTGCTTTGCCAATACCACTATTGGCTCCAGTGATCATATAAGATCGCCCAACAACAGACACTTCCAGGTCTTTAGCCTCAAAGTCTTTTGACGCAGCAACATATCCCTTCCTACAACAAAGAAGATGTTTGATTAATGTAAGAGAAAGGTTAATGATTTAATGTTGTCATCTATAGAAGAGCATATTTTAAAAAAAAGAACCATCAAAGTACTTTATTGGCAAATTCTGAAGAAAAAAACTGCACAGTATGGTTGGCAATTAAGAGAAAGCAGTTATTAAAACAACAGTATTAAGTATAGAAGGTAATAAACTAGGAACAAATAATAATAATAATAAAAAATCTCAGAAGCTAAATGTAAGAAAGGTTTTTTTTCAAATTCATTCGCCTGAAGAAATCTCACATAAAGTAGAAGACTGTTCTGGAGGTTTGGTCTCGCATGCAAAGATTTCGGAGATACTATTATATGAGATGGGGGCTAAAATAGAGTCCTGAGGCAAATCAAGAAAGAAGAGACACAGCTAAGAATTCATATTCATCATTATTAGAAAAAAATTCTGTAAGACAGATTTCTTTTTGTTTTAAGTTATTTTTGGTTGTTGTTGTCACACTGAATTTTAGATTCCCAAAAACATTTTGTTTCCGGACAAAAATCACCTGAGTAAATTCTAAACACTGTTGCAGATAACATTATCGGCTCCCCCTGTCACTGTGTGACAGTTGCTGTTGGAGCAAACAAGTATCTACAAGTGTTTGCTATAAATTGCAAAAACTGTTTTAATCGCATCTGATAAATTGTTGATGCTGATCTCTGTACAATTTTCATAATTCGCCCACATTCCAAGGTTTTTTAGAATAAATGGTTTGTTTGAGGTCAAGCTACAGAATCTTGATTGGATTCTGTAGGATTCTTGTGTCTTTAAGCCATTCAATGGTGAATTGATTGGTGTGTTTCAGATCATCACCCAGCAGCATATCACCTGAGTGATATGGAACTTAGAGAAAAACTCGTGGCGCAAGTTTATCTTTTGGAATTTTTTGGCCAAGAGCAGAATTTATGATTCTATTAGCTATGACAAGTTTTCCAGTTCCTAAAGCAGCCCTGGACCGACACAGTATTATCACCATGTTTTATTAAAACATGTCATAATAGTCTTTTTTTGTTTTATCGATCCACAGATATTTCACCTCACCTTAGCTCAAAAAATGTTAATTGAAAAATCCTATTTTTCCAAAATTTTATTTTTTTTAATTCAGCAAATATATTTTTTGTTTCCCTTAGAAATGACCTTTGATCCATTTTACAGACTAAAAGAACTCAATTATGTTGTCCTGTTTTCTTGAATTAATTTGAAAAGAATCCTAATGTTTTGCTTTATCAGATCTTGAAGCCTACTTCATGTTGTCAAATAGCTTCAGTTTAGGTAACTTATAGATTCTGTAGGTTTGCTTGTAATCAGACTAATGTGAAGCAAGTGAAAATAAGTTTGGCTTTACTGCACATATTTTAATCACATGTGATTAATAAGGCCAAAGATGGTTGAAATAGTTTTTTGCTCCCCTTGATAAATTAAACCATAATATCCATAAATGCATTTTGTATTTATTTTAGTGATCTTTGTCTGATATTAAGACTTATTTAATAATCAGAAATATGTCAGAGTGACCAAAGAAAACAAAAATGAATCTACAAGGAGGTAAACACATTTTCAAAGTGCTACAAATCTATAGACAGGACCAAATTCAATAACCAAGAATGACAAAAGAAATCTTTTAATTTCACTCCATCAAAATCAGTTCTGAAAACACTAAAACATCAGACTACATATCAAAACTGGGCACCAGAAATTTTTATTAAACTTTTTTGCGCTATAGTTTAGGAGTTCACATCAAATGGACATTTATAAAATTCCACGACTGTCAAGCTACAGCAACAGTTATGCATAAACAACCCTCTCAGTGACTGACAGCTTTAACTCTTTTAGCTCATATAGAGATGTGTCATCCTCAGCACATGTGAGCTGTCAATAGAACTATTGTAATTGTACATAAAGGCCAGTTTGTGTTGTGATTTGTGCCAGACAGTGATCAGACCTTTAACAACCTTTATTACAGTTACAGCATAAATACATGTAAAACATCTGAGTCATTTTTATGTTTACAATCAGTAGGCCTAATTAACAAACATATTTTTTCTTGCATTTTCCCTGACCTGAGATCAGCATCAAAGTGATGTTGAAGCCACTGACCTTGTGTACTGTTGGATCCCATTCAAAAACCAGACGCTGTTTCGATACAGAGACATGATGTGAAGTGGACAACAATCCCCAGAGGAATGGCCCTATCCCCCCTCTGATCCTCACTATCACTAAAATAGGTTGGCATCACATGAGAAAGACTCAGGAGCAATATGCTGCTCCCTACCGATCAATAGTCGGAATAACACTGAAACGCTCCCTCAGACAGACATGTAGTTAAACTTTTATTAGTTTATTCATTAACAGGAGCTGATCCCTTACAGTGACCAATCAGATGCCGCAGAGCTGCTGTGACGAAGCTGTCCCCTTGAGGCCAGGGGGCGGAGCTAGACTAACCCTTTTTTTTCCTAACTGGCTGCACTTTGCGGAGGGCAGATATGAACTCATTCGGACCGTGTGACCCTTGTGAGGGTTAAAGTGTCTATTTTCTTCTCTCTTTTTTCGTTTTTTTTTTTTAGTCTTTTCGGAGCGTCAAAATGGTAAGTATTTTTAATGGTGGCTGCCATTAGCCGTAAAGAGCCTTCTGGCTGCTCACCTGTATCACCTGGCAGCAGGTGGCTGACACTGGAGCTCACTTCCTGGAACGAGCTGTAGCTTATTTTAGTCAGGTTTCAAACAAACAAACAAACAAAAAAACAGTAATGGAAGTAATTTGTTTTCATTGGGACTATTTTATGGGTTTACGTCTAGTTTTAAAAACAGTTGAAAGTGCGCTGTTGGTCTCTATTTTCTGCTGGTTCAATCCGTAAAACAGGTTTCGTCACTTTGCTCCAGGTGTCCTGCCCTTATGGCAGTTTAATGCTTTACATATTAATTTCCCTGTTCAGGTCTGCAGATAGCCACAAAGATACAACTTTTGTATGCTTGGTGTTGAAGTGTTTGGCTCTAGGTTTAGAAAAGTGGTAATATTATTACTTATTGTTATAGCAAGGAAATCTGCTGCCTGAATAAATACTGGAAATACTGGTATGTCCTCTTATTCAGGTCCTTTGGAAATTGGTCATTGTTCAGTTTTCTGTTAAATGTATGAGATGTTTTTGGTGGGTAAAAAAAAAAACAGGATTTAAGATTGTTTGTTTGAGGCTCTAAGATTTTTTATCCACCGGAAGATGATTAGGGCCACTGAAAAAACAAAAAAGTTAACTTATTTTAAAATTTTATTTCAGTATAATTTGAGAAAAAAGTCAGAATTTTGAGATTAAAATAAGAATTCGGAGAAAAGAAGTCAGAATTCTGCCTTTTTATCTCAGAATTCTGACTTGAGAGACAAGAGAGCTAGTGTAGTCTCTAAAACAGACATGACTACAGCTTGATGCTAACATGTTTGTTGGCTGTCAGAATTCTGAGAAAAAAAGTCAGAATTCTGAGATATACTTTATCTTAGAATTCTGACTTTTTTTCTCAGATTTCTGACTACAGAGAATTCTGACATTAAAGTCAGAATTCTGACCTTTTTCCCATATCAAACTGAAACAATATTTAAAAATCAGTTAACTTTTTAATTTTTTAGTGGCCCTCTTCCATAGATATCTTTTAAAAATTGTCCACTTTAAATGGTTTGCTTGTCAAAACGTTCCTCAGAAAGAGTGTTTTTTTATAGAATTCAGACCAGGTGAAAGTAAACCTTTTCCATTAGAGGAGTTCTGGGTAGAGCATATTCACAGACCAAAATTATTTTTTTATTTTAAAGGCTAAATATTTTTACAATGGTTGCTCTAAGTGGGTTGCTCTGTCAGCTAAAGGCATGTTTTAGAATCTCTGTACTTCAGTTAACGATTAATCCTTTATTGTATTAGTTGATGATTATTTCAAAAATGAATCATGCTTGATCTGATTTTTTTTCCCACCCTAATAGTTTTATTAATTTGACTGCTCATTTACTCAACTTTTTTATTTCTTAAAATATTTTTCTGTTGCTATAGACTAATGCCTTTATGGCATCCCACAAAAACTAAGTAAAAAAAAAAGAGTCTTCCGATTTTAAAGTGTAAAATTTGTTTTTCTTTATTTATGAAATATTTTTTTCTAAGGAATTGAGAGGTTTTTTTCAAATTCAAAACTGATGATCTTGAAGTGGAAAAACATTGAGTGCCCTTCACAAGTGAAAAAAAAAGCAAAACAAATTCTACTGCGTGTCGTCTCTATAGATACCGATCATACATTGTGTTTGTTCTGCTGGGAATCCCAGCAGCCCTCTAATCCCCCATTTATCATAGTCCATACCTTAGGCCTGTTCAACCTTTAAAAATGTTTTAAAAAATAACCTTTTAAGAACCATGTTATTATAGTTTCATCATCCTTACAACATCATTTTAAAAGTGTTTCTCAGACAATGACAGGTGCTGAACGTAGCTGACATTAGGGAGAACCATGCGAGAGTCGCCAACTACAGCCAGGGAGCCCCTCTAAACAACAGCTGATCTTCTGTTGAAAAATTCAATAATCTGAAATTTGCTAAAATTATTTGTGGATTCTTAATATTAGAATTGCCTAAGCTTAGAAGGGAGTGCTATTTAATCGGTTACCCTGAAAACCACAAATGGAGGGGGAAAAAAAAGATTATATAGTGATTAAAGAACCAGTACAAACACAAGCAACAGAATTAATTCGTAGATCAGCTAGTAACATCAAATTATGACGATCAATACATTCCTTTGAATAGTTGTGCTTTCATTCAGTTTATTTAAATCTTGAAAACTTTAATTTGCTACTTTTTTATTTTTATGTTCTGACATCTCCATTTGGTGTGGTAGTTGACCGTCCTTTGGAGGTCTCTGCTGGACTAGGGACCCATAGCAGCAGTTTATTTTGCTAATGTCTTGGGCTGTTCTGTTTAATGACTAAAGTGATTATAGATTAAATGTTTTCTAACAAAAACATGCTTTTATTTCGGTGGGTGAATGTCAACATGTCCAAATATGAAAGCCTGGTTTCTAACTGAACAAGGCTTAAGCAAATTTCTCTTTGTAGCAAGTTTGTCTCAAAGCTGTGCCAGGATGGGTAGTCAGCTATAGAAATGTATAGAGAAATGGCTTAATCCATCAGAGATTGCGAGAAAAAGAAACCAATTATATATGACTGACTAAACTCTGTCGGACGCATCGAGGACCAAGGCCTCCATACATGGGTCTTGTTCACTAACCACTGCGCCATCAAAGCACACCCCAAAACTAAACTATGTTTATGATGTTTTGTGTATAAAGCAGCATGTTTCATTTGAGCAACATGTTGAAGAGTCCTGACTTAAAGATGACTCAGAATTTGTGGGAGAGGCTAAAGATAAGGGTGACTTCTAGGAGGAGACTTAAAGTTAATCATCAAATAATATGTTAAACCTGTACAAAGTTGGTAACTGATTATACGAAGGGTTTAATAGCTACAGGCAGGGTGCCCTGGTTCCCCAGTACCCCCACTTCCTGCTGCCATGAGGAAGGGGGGGGTACTTCAAAAATTGAGTTCAAAATTTTGGTTTTGTGACAACTCGTATATATATATATATATATATATATCCTAACAGATCCAATGAGAAGGTCTGGGTCATGTCTTAATTACAACTTGGCCTTCAATCAGCTGCATTTTAGTAAATAGGAGACCTAACAAGAACTAGGACATGTTTTGATCTGTTCTAGGGATCAATGCAAGTTACCTGAAATGTTTACACTGCCTTAAGAGATTGGTAAAATCTTTTGTGAAGTATTTAACAACAAAAACGCTAATCAAATAGAATTAAATAAAACCCGTTCTCTCTTATTTGTAAGGTATCAGTATCTGAATTGGAACAATCCAAATCAGTCAATGCCTACTGCGGGTTAGAGAATACAGTTTGTGACAATGTATCAAAATCAGCCACTGCTGTTTATAATTAACAGTCATGTAACTACATTAGAAAGGGATATAAATTTAAATTTATTGATCTCACAATGGAGAAATTAACTCTCTGCATTTAACCCATCCCCTCTGGGGAGCAGTGAGCTGCTACTGCACCCAGTAAGCAGTGTGTGGGTTATGGGTCTTGCTCAGAGAGCCAGAGTAGAGGCTGTGGGGATCAAGCCGGGTAACTTTCTCAGAGCACAAGCGCACTGCTCTAACTACTAGGTCAACACTCCCCTACAATTATTATTAACAATGATTACATTATTGTTTGCTTCACGTAGTCATTCAGACATAACTAATTTTTTTCTGCTGATCGGGTCTGTGTTTTTAGATGCGCTTCCTGCTGCTTTTCAGTCGCCAAGGGCGTCTGCGTCTACAGAAATGGTTCACAGCTATGTCAGAACGTGAGAGGAAGAAGATTATAAGGGAGATGACCACCATGGTCCTGGCGAGGCCAGCACGTACCTGCAACTTCCTTCAGTGGAAAGACCTGAAGATTGTTTACAAGAGGCGAGTCATTCTCATACATGTCTGCTGAAGTAGCCTAAACTAATGAATATGGATCATTTCATCATATCCCTTAAATAGTTACAGTAAATTGTGCAATATTTGCCTCATCATCGGCACATGTTCTTTGTTCTCTTATTAGGTATGCAAGCTTGTATTTCTGTCTGGGCGTAGATGACGGAGAGAATGAGCTGTTGGCCCTGGAGGTTATTCACCGCTATGTTGAGCTGCTGGACAAATACTTTGGCAATGTATTTCACTCTACTTTTATTTTTCCATTTCCAAGTTTCCATTAAGGAGGATATACAGTGTCAGCTACATTTAAAAGCATTCCTTAATTTGTTTTTCCAGTAGAATATTTCACAAGGTTGGAGTCTGCAGAGAGGACAATGCTAAAAATAAACCTTTACTCCTCGTGTTTTATAGGTGTATGATCATTGATATACATTCAGTGAAAAGTATTACACATTTATATTTTTATTGTGACTACCAAACAGGATTAGTTTACTTTCAGATGTTTAAGTCTGAAGGTGGATGGAATGAAGGACCTTTGGAAACAGCGCTGCACTGTGGATGCCACAGTTGCTAAAGGAGCTTCTCAGAGCTCCCTTAGTGTCATGGGGGGGATGAAAGATGTTGTCTATGATGAATGTCGGCTATGCTTTACATATCCTATTCTCAACCACCCTTAGCTCCGGAGGCTGGTCCAGGCCAGAGTTACTTTATCTAAGCAACCTGTTCAGTTTCTCTCTGTCCAGCTTGGTGTCATACATCAAACAGGCCTACAGCGTAATGACTACAGATTCCACCACAGTTTGATAAGCTGTAACAGTGTCCTCATCAGACGAAGATAACTGAGACCCTTCTTATGCAGGGTCAGTGTACATGGAGCATTGCAGGTTTTTGCTCCTCCACAGTCTCAACGTCCAAATCATGGTTGTTCACTGGGGATGTTGGGGTCTGTTACCATTTTCTTTGATGGTTTAATGTATAACTGGCAACTTCACACCAGATGTAATCCCAGTCATTTTCCTCTGATAAATAGTCTACAATGGCTGTATCATCACTTCTAGACATTGCAGTTTTCTGTTTTGTTTGAGATGTAGAAGGTGAAAATGGGAGAGGAAAGAACTGTTCCTTGAGGGGCTCATGTGTTGCATACCATGACATTAAACACACTATGTCTTGAAGGCTTACATAAATTTGATCATTTCTCACCCCTTCAGCATGATATGAAATTTGGAAGCGGCATGGGATCAAGGCATGGATTCATCTTAAAGCTGTAGGACAGGTACCTTGCAAGCAAGATGAATCGTTGAGATTTTATAAAATTGACTTTCTCTTTAAAATTCAGCTTTCCAGGAGCCAACAGACGCATTAGCCTCGATGCAGAAATGTTTTGGATCAATGAAATGTGGTCACGTGTATAACAACTCGTCGACCAGATGCGGAAGGCTGAATCTAAACAAAGATGGCTGCTCCGATTTTAGCAGGAATACCCTCTATTTCATTTTGAAAAAAGGACATAATTTCTGCCATTATTGTTGGGAATGATGTTAGCACTCTCCTCCTGACTGAATTTGGTAAGAGTGTTATTTATTGTTTGACTCCGCTAGTTGTGAAACAAATCAAGAATGTGATTCATCACAACTACTGCGGTGAGGCATGTGCCACCTAATTTATTGAATCAGCTAGAAGATTTTACTGAATGTCCCTCCATTATGTGAATACTTTCTACAGACGGCTTTCCAAGTGGTTACTGTTTAGAATTCAAATTTAACTATTTTATTGAATTCCGTTTATTTGTATAGGGCCAATTCTCAACATGTCATCTAAAAGAACTTGACAGAGTCAGATTGGTTCAAAGTTTTCTATCTAAAGAAAACCATTGACTCAACACCAATTTCTCACACCAAACATGCTTGTAGTGACAGTGGAGAGGAAAACTCTCGTATAACAGAAAGAAACCTCCAGCAGAACCAGGCTCATTGTGAGCGGCCATGTGCCGAGTCGACTGCGGTTCAAGCAGACAGAAGCAAAGATGCTAAAGGTAACTGTCAGCCAGCTCCACAGTTGGCCCCATCTAGGAAACATAGTCAGGCAGATGAGCTCCGAGCCAGCTCCCATGTCAGAGGATGAAAGGGAGCATATACAGTGAGTCATAGTAATGGAAACAGAACTACAGTGAAAACAGGTCAAGCTCCAACATCTATAAACAAAGGTGTTGACGGTAGCACAGAGGTGTTGGCAGCAGCACAACTGATATTTCTCTCCAGGATGGTGTCACAGCCAAGCAGGAACAGACCAAGTGAAGCTACTATGATGAGATAAGGCAGATATAGCATAGCGTTAGAAGTTGAACTAACAAATACGTCAGAATGGGAGAATAGAGATAGAATGATGAAATAGGGGCCCCTATGTCCTCCAGCAGTCTAAGCCTATAGCGGCATAACTGTAGAAATAGTTCAGGACAACATGAGCAACTTTAACTATAAGCTTTGTCAAAAAGAAAAGTTTTAGTCTAGCCTTAAAAGTAGACAATATGTCTACCTTGCTGACTAAAACTGGTAGTTGGTTCCACAGGAAAGAAGCCTGATATCTAAAACTACACGTATCAATCTGGCTTATGCCAGGTTACAAGGACCGTATTCATCTTCCGACTAAAGTTAAAGACCCCTGTTCTAGATGTATCCTTTTCACATTTTATTTAAAATAGGGGATCATTGCTAAGCCTCAGCAGAACCCGATTCCCTGCTGAAGAGGTGATTCTATATGTTTTATGAGTTTTTTTTTGTTGTTGGAGCAGGGGAGTGTCTTGAAAATTCAGGAAAGTGGATGCGAAAAATAATGTGGCTGACACTGTATTAGTTATCAGAATCACTCCATGTGTTATGCACAGTAGGCTATCTGGTTTGATAACCACAGTAACGGCATCATTTGCTCTTTTAGGTGTGCGAGTTGGACATTATCTTTAACTTTGAGAAAGCCTATTTTATCCTGGATGAGTTTTTAATGGGGGGAGAGATACAGGAAACGTCTAAACAGATTGTGAACCGCGCCATTGAATCCTCAGACATGTTACAAGAGGTAAGATGGATGAGAACCCACACAGACACACACCCTACATACACACATTCATACCAAAACTTTTTTTTATTTTTGATGCTATGTGAGCATGTAACATCTGTTGCATGCCTCAGTGTTTTAAGGCATTAGATAAACATTTTTAGAAATTCATCCAATGTTGTTGTGTGTGTGTTTGAGTGTGTGCTTTTTTTAAGTTGTGGTTGTGGGGTATCCAAATATACAAAATTGGGTGATTTCTCTCAGCAACACTTCCTCTAAATTCTACTTGAGAGTATAAGTTGAGTGAATGTAGTGCAGTTAGTTTTTTGGTATTGAGTTCAATTAATCGTGGTGCAGCTTAGTCCCTAATGTGTCTTTGCCTGCGTCATAGCTTACAGATTTGTGGATGTTAGAGGTCCCTCCTGTTTAATGGATTTCTGCTTGTGCTGCTCTCTGTCCTACCCCTCCTTTCCACTTGGCATATCTGCCTCTTCCTGTACCATTGCGAGCGAGGGGCAGATTCTGCTGGAATGTGGAGTGAACTTTAGTGTTTGCCTAATGCTTCCCGCTCCCACCCCTTTCTCTGCACTCATGGCTCTGTGTGATACGGTTATAGCGTAACTGGGTGTGTTCTCCTGTACTTTTGAGTAGGGCTGACTAACACTTCTGATCTAGAGTTGGATTATGTTCAGTCGAACCTCCCTATATTCATTTTGACTATTATCACTTCAGGATGACCACAGTGAGTGGTATGAGGTGGAGCTGTTTGGATGACCTTGAATATGGACAGACAGGTTAGATGCTCTGCTTGTGCTAGTTAACCTGCTGTGTGTTGGCACTATAATGCAGGTGATGTGTGGGTGTGTGCCTGTGAATATTAATTACATGTATTATTTTGTATGTTTGTTATTCTAAAAAAAAGGCTGATATTCTCTTGTCATTTTTGTTTTGCTTTTTTTTTTAGACTATGGAGGAATACATGAGCAAACCTGCATTTTAACTCAAGGAAAAGGAAGATATTAACATGGTGGAGGACTCCACAGACTGCATGTACTGTAAATGGGTCATGAAGTTTCTAGAAATTAGTTTGCTTTAATTTTTCTTCTTCTAAATTTTACTTTTTAATGGTCAAGAGTGTGTCTGTTATTTATATTGAAATTAATTGATATTGCATTAGAGGATGATGGGGTTTGGTTCTATTTCCTTTTTCTTTTTATAATCGATTGTTTTTCATTGGTACTAAAATGACTTGTTATACCTACTGTAAGACAGTTACCATCTAAAGAAACTGTTATTAAAAACTTGATACTCATATCTTCAAATTACACATTATTTTTTCTCACCTGTTAAATACCTAGTTATCACATATTTCTTGCTATTTTTAATCTATAATCCTTACAATGTTTAAGATTATTGGCTGGTGTGTTGATCAGCTGTTTTTGTCCGTTTTTACAGTGCACATTTTATGAATAAAATGTATATTTTGATATAAAAATGTTTTTTCTTCATGTGTTCTCTTAATACTCTTGTTTGTTTTTGTCTGTTTATCAATAAGGCAACACAACTCACCAAGAAGAAAAATAATACATCTGATGCTTTATTCATCTGTGATCGATCACACGTTGTTGAACATGTACAAAATGGTTTAAAAATGAGCATAAGTAGCACAACCACTATTAGGCCAACAACACAGAGCTTTGCAGTATGACAGGGTTAGAAGGCAGGCGACAGTCTGATATTTAGACTTAGAATTACTCCATAACATGAAATCTAACCCTGAATATGTCTAGAGTCACAAAACGCGCCCTCAGCCCTGACCGTAATTACTCTAGAGTAAACCATGACTTTTTCAAGGCCCATTCAGATTCATACCTATTAATTTACACATATATTCACATATGTTAAATAGTTCTACATAGATGAAAATAAGCCTTTTTTTTTATACCTTTACCCTGTTGGTTAAAGTAGAGGGCATTTGCAAACACCATAAATGTAAACAAACTTAACATCACACAGGTTTATTTAATCTGATCTGATTGTAGTTGTTCTTTAGGCTTACTGAGAGCTCACATCTTCCTGATGAGATGTTGACCTCATTGGATGCACCTTTAAGTTTATGGTGTCAATAGAATATCTCTAGGATGTCTTTGCAGCAAGTAGGGACAGTCATTAATAAAATTATATTTTACTTCTAGTTGCTATATATTTATATATATATAATTTTCATTAGAGTGATTATTAATAACAGCTAAAATTCATATAATAAAAATGTGTAAACTAGATCACGTCCACCAAACGTTATTTCTGAGACAGTAGAAATACTAAATATTCATAATAACTGGTCTTGCAGGTTTACATCCCGGCAGCTTTTTTCTCGCGGCGCTTTTCCTCCTCCTCTCTTTCGTTGGTTTCCGGAGCGGAGGTTTGGGCCGTTGCCTCTTCCTCCTTTCCGCGCACCTCCGCCTCCTCCTCCTCCTCTGTTGGCTCCTCCGTTTCCCGCTTGGCCACCGGCCGTGCCTCGGTCTCCGCTTGCTCCATGTAGTCCTTCATGGCTCGCTCGTACAGCTCGTAGGGAAACTGTCCCTGCAGCTGCGCCTGGGTGTCCCGCTTGCTGATGGTGTTCGGGTATTCTGTGAGGATCTTGGCCGCGAGGTAGGTGGTCACCTCGTCTTCTACGTCTCCGTCGTCATCATCATCATCGGCCTGGCGCTTCAGCGGCATCTTGTTGAGCTCCGACAGGAACAGGTTCTCCCTGCGTCCGGAGGGTGGCGGGATTTTAACCGGCACCGCGGCAGGGCTGGACGCCGCTGAGACCCTGTCTGAGGATGAGGGGGTCTTCATTGGTCTTTGCACAACTGGGTACTCGTTGCTGATGGTCTCCACCCCGATGATGTCCAGAAAGTCCTCTCTGTCCATGTCCTCGGGGGCGGGCTTGCTCTTCAGCGGCAGCCTGCGGCTGAAGTACCTGATCTTGGGGGTCTGTCCGGCAGTGTAGCGGTTTAAGGTCTGCGGGTCACGGTGGAGCTTCCTGAGCTCCTCTGTGAGCAGCATGTCGATTAGATCCTGTGGAGGAACGTGGAGCTTGAGGGAAAGCTCCAGCAGCTCCTTCACTGTCCGGGGATCTAAGATGGAGGGGCGGATCAGCCTCTTCCTCTGATCGCCGGTCTGATCCCTCTTCTGGGTCTGATCGCTCATCTCCAGGACCTTCAACAGGTAGTAATCTACCAGTTTAGTGTCATCATCAGCATCCTCCTGGTTTTGGTTGGCTCTGCGCTGCATCTCCTCCTGCTCCGATTCCTCATTCTCGTTCAGCGCCCTGTCCATCTCTTCGTGGCTCCTGTTCACCATCTCCTCGGTCTCCTCTCTCTCTTCCATGGGGACCCACTCCTCTCCTCCAGCTACATCCTGGCTAAACCCGTCTTCTCCCTCATCATCGTCATCCCCGAAAACGCCTCTTTTCTGCCCGGGGACTGCCACCATCCTCCCCAGCTCATCGAAGATGGATCTCAGGTTGGCCAGGCTCTGAGGGGTGTACTGCTCGTCTAGGTCTTCTGTTGCGCGCTTGGCTGCGTCTGTGTTCTCCTCATCTTCAAACATCAGCGGATACTTCTTGTGAGGTCTAGGGAAATTACCATAGTCTGCCGGCGCGCTCTCTGGCGCTTCAGTGTCTTTGGTGCGGTGTCTGTGCGCTCGGCGGTCGCTCCTAGGATCTTTCCCGGCTTGATCCTGGAGAGTCTTCAGCATCGCCTTCATCAGCTGTCCAGCGGTTATGTCCGGGCCCTGCATGCCGGGGTTAGACTGACGGTCCCCGGGAACTTCATCCTGTTGCGAGGCGAGCTGAAGCAGAATCTTGAATTTTTCTACTTCATCGTAATCCACGGGCTCAGGTCGGCCCCCGTTTCTCTGCTTCAGGTTTTCGATATACTCCAGGGCTTTGATCATATCGGAGCTGGGGGAAAAGGCACCCGGCTGGCCCTCGCTCTCACCGCCCCGGAGCCTGTAGTGGCGGGGGAGGGACGCCGCCTGCACGGCGTATCCATGAAGAAGGAAGGCGAGCAGGACCACGGCTCCCCCGGTGGGCAACTTGTGGTAGAAATGCAGCATTATAGGCAAATTTATTACCTGTAAAGCGAGATCAGAACAGGTTTAGGAGTCAAATAGTCAGGGATGCAGTATTTTAACAAACAAAATAAGCGTACTTAGAAACAAAGCCGGTGTGTTTTGATCAAGCGTTTGTATTCACAGGGAGGTTCTCTCCTCAAATTGAATGTGATGCTGAGTGCGTTACATTTCCATCACTGGATGAGTCACTCCCTGCGTTGTTACGGGCAACCTCAGCATTACGTTTACACCTGTTATTACCCTATATATTCTAATCGAAAACGCTTTTAAAACGTTTTAAAAGCATATAGGACTGAGAGAAAAAAAAACGTGTTTTAAACAGTCATTTTTAATGAGTTTTAATCTATCGACTGACCTGACTGGAAAAGCGCAAACAAAGAGCTATCGAGCGTCACATCTACGGAAAGTATGTTTAAATAGAAATAAAATATACTCATAAAAAAAGATGAAACACGTAAACAAAGTTTTGTTACCTTTGGTAATAAAGCTCAGACAGCAGCGAGGGTGTATAGCATCTCCTCAGGAACGGTGCTGATTCGCTTCTGTTTTCAGCACTTGGACAGCTCCTCCTGTTATATGAGGCACCACCTGACCAGCACGTCATCAAACAACACACGTAAAAGCTGCTCCTAAAAAGTCTTTATAAATGATTCAGGTTTATGATATGGCATACTAACGAGTCTGCTGTATTAAAAATAGAGCCTGTGTGCTGTTTGCAGCCCTGCGCCTTTCTGTAGATGCTGTAGTTCATTAGAAATATATTTAATTATCAGGAGTATAGTGCATTGCTTTGTCTTGTTCTAAAAAGGATACTATTTGATTTAAAAACTATAATCATCCAAATTCAGCTTTTACTCACTAGAAATAGAGCTGTGTTCATTGAATGTTTACTTTAATCTTAACTTTAGTATTAATCTTATTTAACTGAATTATATGCTGTTTTCTGCATACACTGTATTTGGAATCCTTGCTGTTTTTCACTTTGAATTATTTCCTTATATCACCATTTTGTTTTTTTATTAGAACAGAGTATTTTTACATGGTTAGTTTTACTGTTATGGTAACATTTATTTTAGTTTAATTTGAATCTCAGGCTATCATCGAGGCATTTTAAGAGTTAACTTCTCCAACGATGACTCACATGCTCAACGCACCGCTGAGCTGCTGTCGCAGTTCAGCAGCCCTTCATCCCCCTCCTCTCTGTGCTGATGGTGATAAACACCCTCCTGTCTGCTGGGGGGCAAAAACCCGACATTCCGCAGGTCTGCAAGATAAAGGGGCCACAGCATGCCAGCTGCCAAATAAAGGTCAGGGATGGGCGGTGACATGGAGAGATCAGAAGCTATAATCAACATCTCTTTGGTTTCATATATTCTAGTCAATATCTGTGAAGATGACTAAAACAAAGCATTACCATCCTCGCTGTCTGTAGATTCAGTTGCCAACACAACATTGTAGTGCACTACTAAAGGGGTTTACAATAATAACAACAACACTACAAAAAAATAAAAGTTTGGGTTGACAAGTAAAACATTGTGCTTGATTTCTTAATCAAACTTCCTTTTGCAATTAAAGATAATTTTTTCATAATGTTTTGATTTGCAGTGCATTTGCATTTCCTCGGAAGTGGCTGACGTCATTCCTGAATGGATTGGTGATTGCAAGATAGAAAGCCAATGGGATTGCTATTTATTGTGGTGCTGATATTTATAATGCTATACGCTAACAATGTATTTCACTTTGATGCATTCTAACGGTTAAGACACAAAAATTGAAGCTGTACACTAACGTGTGAGTAGCAGCTTTAAAACCTGCTATGTATTTCCCCACAAAGGCGTTAAGATTAAACCTCTGTCACCACTATGAGATGTGTTTTATCATCAGCTGCCTTTTCTTAATTTTCATTTTATGTGGATTCAAAATGACTCAATCTGCAGTTCTAGATATGAATAATTCTAATTTTGAGATTTTATGATCCAATGATACCAAAATGTAATCAATGCTTGGAAAAAGACATTTAATCATTGAAGCAATGGGATTCTATTTAAAATAGATTTTAAAAAAAGTTTAGGAAGTAAAATTGATGATGTTTCTAGTCTTAATGGGATTTAGGCCATTAAGTGGCCTAATTAATTGTTTATTTATACCTGCAACTTTAACTATTTCGTATGTGAGGCAGCAGCTTTTTGTCAGAAATCAGATAACATGGGCTGTAGTTTTTGCAGTTCCATCTAGGAACATTTAATTGTAGAGCTAAGTCCAAATAAAACACATCACCAGTTGCCAGGCAGAAAACCAGTGTTCTTTGTTTGTTGTTGATGAGTAAAAATACAGCTGGTAATATTATATATCTCTATTTTATATTTGAACACTAAAGAACATTTTTACAAACAGATGTTACGTACAGTAGGACTGAATCATTTCTATTTATGTGAAATTAATATGCTTTTAGCTGCTCAAACAGTCGATTCGATTATTTTTTTCCCCCAGGTTGTTTGCTACTTATTTAAAGCATAAGTTGTGATGTAAAATCTTTGTGCATTTCCCATTAATGTTTAATACATAAAATGGAGAAACATGCAATTATTGTCTTGATAGTAAGCGCCACAAAAATTAGTTATTCATACTGTTTATTTATTATTACCTATTGGGCTCATAACCAGACAGCAGCCAACTCAAGGATGGTGTCAATTCCAGATCCAACCTGTGACTAATCAGGGCAAAGCAAATGAGGCATAAGACTTTCAACTTTCAAAACTTTAATACCAAATTCAGAAAGTGTGTTTCCCTGTCAACTATAGCTCTATGTTCCTGGAGAAGTGGATTCTGTAAGTTAATGACTTCATGCAATCTACTGGGTTTCCCTTAGATTCCCTGAACCTTTTAACCAATCTGTATAATTTGATCTAAGGAAGTTTACTGAACATACTGTAAACTTCCTTGGGATGACTTGTTGTAGATTAACGGCATATAAATAAATTGATTTGATTTGATCCAGATTCAGAGTACAAATAAAACATACCATTAACCCTCCTAGATGCCTAGAAAAATAAGGTAAAGAAACTCCAGATCAAAATACTGAAGGTTCTAAACTGATTCACACTATCAGTTTACTCCAATACTATACATGCACACATGTACTCCACCATTTAAGCAATACTGTCTAGTTTCACAATACTTTCTGTCTTTTCCTTTTCCAAGTAAAAGCAAAAAGTTCTTTCTTCCACTTCCTCCTCAGGGGCAAACACAAAGCGTGACATTTTAACTAAGGTTATGTCAACAATGCTAGAGGAGCTTTTTTTAATTGAAATTGCTTTTACCTGTCTGCCCTCTTGGGCTGAAGACCTATAGAAAGAGCTTCCTGACATTCAGAGGCACAATAATCTATCTCACCAATGCTTTTTGTTACACTGTGGGAGAGTCTTTATTGACGAGTTATCAAGTAATTGGTAGAGAAAAAACAGATAATGACAGGTGTGGTGTTTATTTATTAGCCATTTACTACTCCTCCCTCTGATTAATAATGGGATTTTCTCCATCTCCATTCAGAAACAACCTTCATACAACACTCAGTAATCACAGTCAGCTAAGGCCTGTAACTGATCATTAACAAGACATTCTGGTGGGTTTATTAAGAAAAAGATTATCGTCATTGTCTCTCATCAATATTACTGAACAAGAAGGTCTCTCCTACACACAGACACTGAATGCAAATAGCTTACAGCTCATTTACAGATCAGGACGGTGACTAATGAAGATGTCTTGGAGTGACTGTGATTGATGTTTTCCACACATTGGAAGCTGTGACAACAATAAAAGAGTGGAATATTCCATCAGCTGGAGCCTGTCATTAGCTGGGTTCTCCATTTACAGCTAACAGCGTACAGAGTGTAATAACACACAAGGAGATTGAATTAGGGCGTGCATATGTGATTGTTTTAAAACTCCAAATAACAGTAATTTTCCATGTTGTTATTGGAGTATGCATATTTTGTTTTCTTTTTTTTTTTCTCGACTTCTGCCGTTACTTGGGCTTTTGATCAGTCATGAGAGTTGGCAAGCTGTTATACATCTGCTGATGTTGTTAGACACTATTCAGATTGGTGTGTTTATTTGATACGCTCCCCCCAGAGAGAAAAGATTTCTCTGAAATCACATGTTGGTAGGCTCCTGGTGGTGGAAGATTCGCTTTATGAGTCTTTGAAACACTCTCTGGAGCCTGAGATGGGCTGTCTGTGGGCATCGTTGCAGACTACTCACTTCACTCATGAAAAGACCAAAAAAGATTTTCAGTAATTGGTGCTAATGAATCCCTTTTGTCTCAGTCTCTGTCTTTGTGTCTTTCTCCCTCTTTATAAAAAAAAAAAATGGGACTAATTAAATAAGGTGTTCGCTCACTCCCTTATTGATTTTGTGTCTTTCATCACCTCACTTTGATGCTCTGGTTTCATGCTGAAACTAAATGACAAAAATATATGCTACAGCCTCTACATATATGGGTACCTCTAGTAAACTAAATCAATATTTTGACTCTATGTTTAAAGGATTTTCTTGTGCGTACAACCTGATTCAAATCAATCCACATTTAAAAAAGATTAGTATCTGGGATTTGTGACCCAGGACTTTCCAGACAGACATTCATGGATTTACTGGTATGTTTTGGGTCATTGTTATGTGGCTGATTCTAGTTCTCCAGCTTTCCTTTTTTCAAGATAGGTACTATTTTATCAAGTATTCTCTGATACGCAGTAGAATTCATGGTGGATTCTATGACCAGGTCCTTCTGCAGCAAAACATTCTGATTACAGACACATCGATCTCTGAGCTTTATTGATGAGTTTATTTTACTAAAATACTGCATTTGGTTTCTGCGTTACTTGTCATCGGTTCTAGTGTCCAAATTATTCAATTTTAGGCTAAACTTTTTGAAGAACATGATGCCAGAAGTCCAGGTCTTCCTTTTTTCTCATAAATTCAACTTTCTCTTTGTTTACTTGTTTTAATGCAAATGTTTCCTGTGTGCAACCCCCTCGAGAACTAAACTAGTGTTGTATCTTTCTGAATGTAGAGGCACACACTTTCATATCAATGCTTAAAAAAGTCTAAATACTATTGTGTAGATCTCATAATAGCATTTCAGATTTTCTAGCGACTATGTTTAGCATCATGCAGTCTACTCATGGTATGTTTTGGCCATTGTTTTAGATCTCCTCCTTTGAAAGATTATTTATTCATGTTTTTTTCTTTTTATAGTTGAAAGGCTAGTTTCAAAAAGTTGCCAAAATGTTCTTTCCAAAGACTTCACATAGCTATCTTGATCTCATCATGGTTTCCACTTGCACTTTGACAATTAAAAACATTGAGTGCCCGAGGTTTAAACACAGCAAACTTAAAAAAAATATATGATATGCTACATTGGAAAATAATCCAAATCTAGATAAGTTTATTTTTTCTTAAAACAAGTGCGTTAGTTCTTGAATTGAGAAGGTAAGTGAGACACTTTGCCAACGGAACAAGACAGTTTACATCTAAAATAAGAAAAAAAAAAACAGTTGCATTTTCTTATTTTAAGTAATTATTATGTAATTATC